TCTTTGACTGCTAGTCAGTTAGTAGTTTCCATCTGTTTGCTATTGTAACTAATGCTGCAGTGAACGCGGGTATGCATGTATCTATTCACGTTGCAGCTCCTAGTTAATAATATATATTCAGCAGAGGAATTGCTGGGTCACAGGGTAGTTCTAGTTTCAATGTTTCGAGGAAGTGACATACTTTCCCCACAGTGTTTCTACCATCTAACACTCCCACCAGCACAGTGTAGGAAGTTTTCAGTTTCTCCACAATCTCACCAACATTTGTTGTTTCCTGTTTTGTTTTTTAAACCTTTTTTATTAAGTCCTGGAAATAAAGATGAGACTTTCTGCTCTGTTAAAGATTTTCAGCCTTAGAAACTCACAATACAGGTCTACTCTGTCCTGCAGGATTGGTATGAGTCAAAATGTACTTAGTGGCAGGGAATTATTAATGCTGGAGTGAAGTTATTTGGATTTTCAGCTCCAATGGTTCCAAGCATTTATAATGGTTGGCTAGTGACTGCGAGCATTTCTTGTTTGTGGGAAACAGAAATACCATATGATGCAGCAATCCCACTACTAGACCTAGTTCCTAAAGAAATAGGAGTCATGTCATGAATAAATAAATGCATACATGTTCATCACTGCGTTAGTCACAGTAATAAAAATATGAAAACAACTAAATGCCCGTGGAAGAATGGATAAACAAACTATGGTACGAACGCACAATGGAAATCTGTTATATTGCTGTTCTGTACTGTGGAGCGGGTTCCAGTGGCATCCGAGAAGGTTCTCTCTGGACACAGTGAAATTTTTGGTAAAAGTATTTTCAAGTTGATTTTTGAATGATGGCCTCATTTTTTTGCGATGACCGATTTAAGAGAACAGCATATGGCTGTGAAATTTTGTTCCCTGCTGGGGAAAAATGCTAGAGACCATTATGATGTTGAGCACAGCTTACAAGCACAGTGCTGTAAGAAAAATTCAAGTGTACGAGTGGTTTTCTCGTTTCTAAAAGGTGAAATGTCGATTGATGACAAACCTCATTCTGGATGTCTGTCAACTTCCCAAACAGATGAAAAGGTAGACAAATTCATGGACTTGTGCTCAAAGACCAGCACTGGGCCATTGACGAGATGGGGAAATTATCAGGACTGTATGGGAGCGTGGTTTGGAGAATTGTACTAGAAGATCTGGGAATGAGAAGGGTTGCTTTGAAATTTGTGCCTTGGATTCTGACTGACCAGGAAAAAGAGCATCAAGTGGACACATGCTGTGATTTGAAAGAACAGCTCCAAAGCAACCCAGACTTTTTTCCAAGGTCATTACTGGTGACATGGTGCTATTCTTATGACCCCGAAAGCAAACATCAATCAAGCCAGTGGAAGAGGCCATCATCACGTTGCCCCCCAAACTTGTCAAATGAACTCAATGATCAATATAAGGCTCATTTGCTTTTTTTGATGTGAGGGGATGGTGCATTTGAAGTTCATTCCACCATGTTATAGTGTTAATCAAGCTTTCGATTTATAGGTTCTGAAAAGATGGTATAACAGAGTGTGACAAAAAAGGTCTGATTTGTGGCAGACGGGGATAGTTTTGCCAACACAATACACCTGCTCTCACAGCCATCTCAGTACACTAGTTTTGGACTAAAAACAGCCTGTCTCTCTTACCTCATGCACCTTACTCACCTGACCTTGCTCCGTGCAACTTTTTTGTGTTTCCACCAATGGAGAGGGACAAGAAAGGACAGGAATTTTATGACTTAGAAGAGGTGAAGAAAAAACACTAGAGAGGTGCTGTCAGCCATTCAAACAGATGAGTTTCAAAATGTTTCCAATAATGGAATGGCAGATTTGACAAATGCACTAAGAGTAATGGAGAGTACTTTGTAGGTGATAAAGTTGTTTTGTTAAAACATTTAAATACATAGTTTTGGAGGCAGGGGGCAGGGTGGATTCCCTTTTCTGGGGGGTACCCTCACAAACCTAGTGCTTTCCCCAAACCTAGTGCTCAGAAGAGGTTAGGATTCCAGCTTATATTTTAGAAAGATGCAATTCAATCCTTGACAGGAAAGAGATGGATGATGTTTGCTTTGCTTGAACATTTAAGTTTTACACACTTTGCATGAAGAGGATGAGGTATCTTTGAAATAACTGAAAAAGTTCAGTGTAGGCATTCCCCAGGTGTCTGTAGGCAGTGAGCATGGCTGTTGCCTAGCCAATCACTTTGGCAGAATTATAAACCCAGGCCAGAAAGGCCATATATAAAGAAAACCATTGCACTGTATGGGGGCCAATTCAACTCTCATCTGACTCCCCTGCTTCATCACAACCCTAAAGTAAAAGTTAATGTTCTACATTTTACCAATCACAAAATGGAAGCTCAAAAGGTTAAGGGATTTGGCCATTACACCAATTCTCTATTGCTATGAAACAAGTCATCCACACTTTACCGGCTTAAAACCACAGCCATTAATTTTCTCATATGTCTGTGTTTTGGGTAGGGCTCAGTGGGGACAGCTAATTTCTGTTACCTGTGTCCATTGAAGAATCCAAGTTTGAATACCTGGGGGGGGGGAAATTGGTCTCATTCTTTTGTGGGGTGGTAAAGAGCTCCAGGAGAGTAAAGGTAGAAGCTGACAGATCTCTTAGGGGCCAGCCCTGAACTGGGACAACATCATTTCTGCAGCATCATATAGTCAAAGCAAGCCATGAACAACCACCTCATGCGTTGGGCTGCAAGTAATCAACTTATCCCATCAGGGTCATATGTCCTGAAAGACCCAATTGTAAGCCCAAGTCTGAGCCACTTGCAATTCACTTGTAACCTTATATGCTTCCCATGCTCCATTTGCTTTTCCAGACCTTTGTCTGTGCTAGGTACTCTACGTGCAACCTTCTCCTCTTCCTCCCCTTACTCTGCATACAGGACCGGATTCCATCATCCAACAGCGACAGCTGGAGTTTTTCCAGAGCTCCAAATCCCTCCTTAGTGTTCCCAAAGCAATCTGCCCTTCTCTGAGGACACTGGACTGACAGTGCTGCTTTCCCGTCTTCCTTTCCACTTAGAACACAGGTATACACCCCTAGCCCCCAGGTCTTTGCCTGGCCTATAATGGTGCTCCGGAATTGTCAAATGACCGAATCCACATTCCCCTCCGCGAATGCCTCCCGTTTATGCAACGTGCTTGTCTCAGTCTTTAAGATGGTGTTTGGGACTTGGGATGTTCTAAGGAGCTCAAAAAGAGCGAAGGCAGAAGCTGCCCCATCGCTTTAGAAGAATTTCCATTACATCTTAAGGTCAAAGCAAGCCAGGGGTAAGGTCAGATTGGTGGGGAGGGGAGACCGAATGTTGATGGCATTGGGGTCAACACCTGTGGAGGGAAGTGAAGGAAGCAGGGACATTTCAGTCATTATGGTGGCTGTCACCCAGTGAGCAGGCTCCCTGGCATATCCCCCTGGTGGGCAGAGCAGTCAGTTCCGGTTCCATCTCTTCTCCGCCCCACCCACCTTATGGGCTATTGGGTTTGCCGCTAGCCCCACCCCTTGCCGTTTTTCCTCTTCCACTGGCCAACGCCAGACCCTGGCCCAAAGCGGCTGTGGCGAGTGACATGAGGATGGAGGAACAAGGGGACAAATGACTCAATCCTAGAGCCTCCTCTACCTTGGCAGCCACTCCCCCGGCACCCCTGGCACCCCCGGTACCGACTCTGGGTTCCCTGTGGCGTCATCGCCTCTGAAGTGTCAGGGAGTGCCATGCACACACCCTCTCCTCTCCGGCTCCTGCAGCTGGAAGGGACTGAGGGAGATTACAGCCAGCGTTGACTGCCCCCCCGGGAGCCTGCGGGCTGAAATAGCCCTCCACCTCGAGCAGTTGGGCCGAAATGGCCAGACTTTTCTACGCCTGCCGGAGCACCACCATTCTGCGTGGATGTCAGTGGGCCCTGGGCCACAGGAGGAAGGGCGTGGCCTTGGCCAAGGTGGGCCGTTTCCATGGAAACAACCCCTGATGATGCGGAGGGCTATCTGCTGACAGCCGCCCCTGAATTGGGCAGCAAGCCCTTGTAAGAAAGGGAATCTGATGGGCACTTTGGCATGTTCCTGGCAAGGAAGCGGGAAGGGGTAATCCTTGAAAGCTGCTTGGAGAAGCCGATTAGAAGACAGGGCTAGAAGGTGGGGCCCTGGGATGGCAGAGTGAGGAAGGAAGCATGCTGGAAGTCCTGGGACAGGGTCTGGGAGCTGGACGTTCTGGGATAGCGTCCCCACGAAACCTCCTTCAAATCAATCAGCAGCGCCATCGTGATCGCAAGTGTCCCCTCTGTGTTGGGCGCTGTGCTATGTGCGAGAAGAAAACCCCAAACCAACTCATTGCCATCGAGTCGATTCCGACTCACAGAGGCCCCACCAGGACAGAGCAGAACTGCCCCCCTGTGTTTATGAGACTGTACATCTTTACGGGAGCAGAAAGTCGCCTCTTTCCCTCGCACAGAGACTGGTGGATTCGAACTGCTGACCAAGGCATAGAGCACGAACCCACCAGGCAGCTCTGGCTCTCATGTGGGTGTGGGTCAGACGGAGATTGACTCCCTCCTCGCCAGCCCCTTTTGCACTGTTGTCCCTGTCAGCACTGCTGGGTCTTTGCCAAACGCAAATCAGAGATGTCTTTACCGGGCTTCGGACGCTTCAGGGGTTTCCTTCCCACTTAGAATTAAATGCCCGTTTCTCTTCCTGGTGAGTGTTACCTGGCGGCCCCTCCAGCGAGGGCGGCGCTGGCCTCAGGGGGCAGCTGCGCGGCGCTCCTGTTCCCAGGGACCTAGGGGCACGCGAGTTTGCTGGTCCGCACAGGTGTGGCGGCCCCTGGGGAGCCGCCCACTCTCTGAGATTCCAAGGCCCGCCCTGCCGCGGCCCCGCCCCTCGAGCCACCTATAAATGCGCCTGCTGCGCTGCGGGCGCGGTCGGGGCGCGGAGCCGGGCTCAGGTGTTGGTGGAAGGCTGCTGCGCAGATCGGGGCGCGCGCGGAGGCCTGCCATGCTGTTCTGGCACACGCAGCCCGAGCACTACAACCAGCACAGCTCCGGCAGCTACTTGCGGTAAGGGCTCAGCCTTGGGGCCCCACTGGGCCGGAGGAGCCGCTCTCAGGCCCCCGACAGCTTCGGGCGCCCTTGGGGGTCCCAGTGCGGGCCACGAAGCTGGCGGGCCGGGTCTGGAGAGCCCCTTCTGGGCTTTCTGCTGCCCAGTGGCAGCGAGGTCCCTGGAATCCCGTGTCTTCTGAGCTGGTTCTGAGAACAGACGAACCGCAGCGGGTTCTGGACAAGTCAGGGAGGGGGCGCTTTGCTGGGAACCCCGGGGGTGGTGGTGCAGGGCGCTCACCTGCTGGTGAAAAACCTGTCCCTGTTCGATTTTTCTCCCTGTACTGGGGCGCAAGAGCAAGAGGAACTGTCTGCCTTCAATTTGGTGCCAGTCTAGGAAATCCAGTCCCGTGCTCTCCGCCCTGGGTCGCTCACCAGACACTCGTGTCGGGCCCAGAGCTCTGCCCAGCCCACCAAGCCCCAGACCTGGCAAGCCCACCTGGGGAGCAGGCGCCTCCGCCCGCAGGAGGTCTTGGCCTGTATTGATTTGCCTGAGGGCTCCTGCACTTAATGTCCTTCATGGAAATCTTTCTTTGGGGGATTTGACTAGTGTTCTTCGGAGGGAAAACGAAGTCCTGCCTGTTTTGAAAGCATTTCTCTGGCTCTCAGTATTCTACCCTTTAAGGACTCTGGGCCCTCGTTTTATTTCGTTCCTGTAGGACTGTTTTGCCAAGCTGTGTAGCTAGCTGGGTACTCCTTAGCAGACATTTCACCTTCAGAACTCACCAGAACCAGCTCTGGTTGGTCTTTATTTCCACCCAAGTCACAATTTATTAAACGTGCCTAACTTAACCCATAGGCCGATTGATACAGGGTCTGGGAAAGTGTGTGGTGAGACTGAGGGAGTCCCAGAGCCGGAGAGTCTCAAAGTGAGAGTCACTCACAATGATTTGGGAACGGGAAAAGGGGCTGCCAAGAATTTCCTACTCAACAACCCTTGGTCCTATGTAAGTCTTGGCTTGGATACTGATTCGAAAGACATCCCAAGGACTGAGTGGAGGTGTCATTGTTTTAATCACCAGTGCAAGGTGGAGGTGGAGATGTGGTGTGCGGTTGTTAGAAGATCGTGTCCATTCACTTAAACAAAGCTCACTGCCCTTGAGTCAAAACTGACTCTGAGTGACCCCCGAGGCGTTTCTGAGACTGAAAGTGAAGCCCAGTCGTTCTACTGAGGAACTGCTGGTAGTTTTAAACTGCCGGCCATTCTGATTGCAACCCAACACTTAACCACTACACCACTAGGGCTCCATTCACTTAAACAGGATAGAATTTATTTCTACTCAACTGCATGCTGGAGTTTTAGTGTTACATAAATTTAACTTTGTGACCATTGTTGCAATACCTCAAAATGAATTTGAAGGTGACCCTTGGGAAGGGTGAGTGTTTTTACAATGCCATCTCACTAGGACATAATCCTTCCCTTGCATGGGAGGAATAGTTTCACCATCTGCTATGGAGATGATAATTTATCTGTGAAAATTTTCAGATACCTTTTAGGATTTTGGAATTGCATTAAGGGGGGGGGGGTTGGGATGAAAGGTACTATTAAAGACACATTGATTGCGGGGGTCATTTTTGGGGACCATGGATGAAGACGTAATTTTTATTTCCATTCCTGGAAATGGAGGCTTTTGCTGTCTTAGAGGCTGACTTTAGTCAAGGAAAGGCAGTGAAAGTCTGGCCCTTCCTGGTTTTTGGGTCCTATGTTTGCTCATCTCTGTGCTCTGCACAGCTTCTTTCGGCGAGTTGTCTGACTCCCCCAGGGCCTTTGCCCCCATCCCACTTTCCGTTTGATGTTCTTGTGACGTTTTATTCCTTGACAGAGGATAGCAGCCCTGAGACAAGTTACTGTTGAGTGATGGTTCCTACCCCCCTTTCCTTTTTACCTTAAAAGCCATAGTCCACAGACCATTATTTTAACGTGGCCTATGCAAATAGGAAATTATACAATCCTGAGGGAAACGGGTTTATGTACTTTTCCCAAGGTGCTAGATAGCCACACGGACTGGGAGTGTGTCCCTCATTGGTGGCACGGTGGTGGGAAGCCCCAGACAGTATGGCACTAGGGTGGTTTGAGTCAAAGGACAGTGGCCAAAGAAGCCCCCACGTAGGAGGCTGTTCCCCAGAATATGCCCGAAGCCAGGCTTTTCCTTCCGAGAATTGGTTGGACATTGTTGAGGTGTGTGCCAGACTCATTTACTGTGTTATGTGAAGAACAGATTGTACCAGTGACTTTGCTGTTTATACAGCGAAGTGGGGTCAGCTAATCTGATCCATTACCCGGGATACACCAAGGGAAGAGGTCGATCAAGATAAGGGCACTGGCACCTGTTTCCGTCCTGCTCATGCTTTAGTGGTCTTAGGTCTCTCTGCTCACCCCACTTTCACATGTTCAAGGATTCCTACCCCCTGAGAGCATTTTAAATGTTCTCTACAAACTAGTTCCCCTTCTTTCTTTCTGTTTTATGATGATGGGATTGTTGTGGAGACTTGGAGGAAAAGAATCATTAGGCTTCTCAAGTTGTCCATGTGGATAAGAAAACTGATTTGAAACCTTCCTCGTTTTGCATTTAGGAGAGATTTGCGTGACTCTTAACACAGGGTGATCTGCTGGGAGGCTCTGTTCTGGAGAGATTTTTGTAACTTTTATATTTGATAAAATTGGTTTTGTATCTCCTCGCTGACTGTAGCCTATGACCCCCTTGAGCAGTTCAGTTAAAATAGAATCATAAAAGCACCTTAGCGTATTTATGAAGTGAGGTATGCTACTAGGCCTGCACACTGAGGTACTGGCTGTGTTAATGCTGACGCTGGTGGGCTACATCCCCCTCATTAACTTTGCTACGTCTTGTGAACTGGCTCCTCTTAGCTTTGCTCCTGATCATTCCTCTCTGTGTGTTGCAGCGATGTCCTCGCTTTGCCCATATTCAAGCAGGAGGAGCCTCAGCTGTCTCCGGAGAATGAGCCTCGCCTGCCGCCCCTGCAGTACGTGCTGTGTGCTTCTACGTCCCCAGCTGTGAAGTTGCATGAAGAGACACTGACCTACCTCAATCAAGGTAGTGACTGGAGTTCTGGGCCAGGGTCAGAAAGTGGGGGCTGGACTCCTTCTGCCAACAAGGAATGGGGAACTGCCCTGAAAGACCCGTTTGGATTCGTTACATTTCCACAATGGGCGTGATGAATTTTGGGAAGGACTCTTTGGGCAATGCAAAGAGTTAATACTCCTGGCTGCTAACCCTACCTCTGTTTCAAGTCTAATCAGAGTGTTTTGGGAGAAACCGATGGAGCACTGTTTTGTGACACAAACAGAGTTCAATAGCAACTGGTTTTATGGGCTTTGGTGGTCATATCTGACTTAGGTTTATCTTCCATTTCCTACGTGTGTCTTTTCTAAGTTTCATTGTCTTCCTCTGAAAAATCAGGATGTCATCCATCTTGTTATGGAAGTCAAATGCCGGTAAAGATACATTAAAATCTGTAATCTCGAACCCTGGTAAGCTGAAGCCCTGTCAGAGAAGGAAAATGCAAATAAAGAAAGAATAATAAGTAATTCTTAATAAAGAGAAAGAGTCAGTAGTAAGACTGCCAAAGGAGGAAACCTTGTGAGACCGAGGAAACTAGGCGGCTCTGCCTGTCACAGTGTCGCTGTATAGCATTACGTATGTCCATCTGCCAGTAGGGAATGCTCAGTAAGTGGTAGGCACAGTTACGATTATTATGTACTGGGAGTATGATGTCCTTTCTTGATATAGATGACAGCACCTTTGCTATATCAGGCTGCTGTTCTTTCTAGAATTGCCCTTGGTTGGCCACATGGAGATTGGCCATGTCTTAAAGGACCCCAGGGGCAGTAATCCACAATTAATACACAGGCACTTTTTTTGGTGACAAGGACAAGATCACTTAAGAGGTCCTGAGAGAAAATGCCTTTGGATTTGAATTCCAACTCTAGCCACGTCCTGGTTCCATGACTGTGAGTTAGGGTTCTTCTTTCTCTGTGAATCGGTCTTTCCACGAGCAGAATGATAACTCTAATTGGGCAAAGTTGAAAAGAATAAATGTTTGATTGCTTCTCAGACTTTTAACTAAGCTCAAGTATAAAAGAATAAATGTTTGAAAAGTCTTGATGTGATAGTGGTTGAAAGTTCCTGTTCTTTTTACTAGAACATATGAACCAATACCTTGATGGATGACATTTTTGCAGTGTGCTAACAATATGGCACTTTCTTCCGGGGTCACTTCATCAACACCTAGTATACAATGGGCTCAGTGCTCAAGGCGGAGAGCAAGGGGCAAAAAAACCCAAAGCAAACGAATGCCGTTTCTGTAGGGTTGTGCCAAATTGCCTGAGAACGGAAGTGTGAAGGTAGCAGTTTGTCTTCCACGTGGGGCTTACTCTGCAGTGTTCCCTGCATTTAGGGAGCCAGCTGGAGCTGGGGGTCTACCCTGACCATCAGGCTTTCCTCTGGTTGCTGAACTTATCAGCTTCTATACCAAGAAACTAGCTCATACCCTACCCCGTTTCCCCCCAAAATAAGACAGTGTCTAATATTAATTTTTGCTCCCAAGGATGCGCTAGGTCTTATTTTCAGGGGATATCTTATTTTTTCATGAAGAATATGGTATACATTTATTGTTTATTGTTTAATTAAAAGAGACCTCACACTTCCTGTCTGCTCCAGCTGCGCTGAGGTCAACAGTGAGCTGCGTGGCAGCGCCCACTGCTACGGTCAAGAGTCTAGAGTTACCGTAGCCTTATTTTCGGGGAGGTCTTATTTTTGGGGGGGGGATGCCTTATATTTCAGCGAGAGGCAAAACTGTAAGTAGGTCTTATTTTCGGGGATGTCTTACTTTCGGGGAAACACAGTATTAAGTCTATGTCTGCCTCTGCAGAGGGAAAGCTCTCTCCCACTATCAGTGTGCCTCAGGTAGAAAGCGATGGTTTATGCCTTTGGGCAGCTTTAGTGGCCTCATGGTTGGACAGTGCCTGGATCAGCAAAATAGCTCTTGTGTGTGCTTGTTAAGAAATCCTGGTGTGGTGGTTACACATTGGGCTGCTAATTGTCACGCTCAGAAGTTTGAAACCACCAGCTCTCCTTGGGAGAAAGATCAGGTTTTCTACTCCCATACGAGTTACAAATTTGGAAATCACAGGGCAGTTTTACCCTGTCCTATGAGATCGCATCAACTCGATGGTGGCGAGTTTGGTTTGGGTTTTAGTATGTTTGTTTGGGGAAGGGCTTCTTTTTTTATCTTTCTCTTTTATGGAAAGGCAGATGCTACCCACTGACTGTGTACCTTGGTACAGTTTCTTTCCTCAACTTTCTTGTGTAAATTAAGATTCCAAATGTTTTAGCCTATTGAATCGGATGTGCTTCTTTGGCCCTCTCTCATGGTGCTGAGGGAGCGCTCAGAAGCCTTGATGCTGGGTTAGTCTGTTGACCTTTCCCTCCTTCACTCCCCCCAAGGTCAGCCTTTGGATGGCGGCAGTCATCAGTCAGCTTACTGAGGTTTTTAAGACAGGAATTATCTTTGTGCCTAATACAGAGTCATTAAAAGAGAAGGGGACATGAGCTACCCCAAATCTTATCATTCTGTGTTTATTGTGAACGGGGAGCAGGGTTTTAAGAAGTTTGTGGGAAATGAATTTAAAAGATATTTCCATGAACTTTTTGAAACTCCGTCACATTTATTTTTCTTTAAATTTTTTCATGGGTTCTCTTTTTATTCTTTTAAGCAAGTCTTTTGATGTACACAAATGCATTCTTAGGAAGACCCAGTTCTCTTTTTTTCTTCTTTAGAGTGGCTGTTTTTCATTATGTTTGGTACTCTGTCTATGCCTTGCATTGGGGCCCTTAAATTTGTCCCAGTTTTCTAATTGATTCTGTTTATAGTTGTAGAGTCTATATTTAAGTCTTTACTCCATCTTGAGTTCCTTTTTAAAAAAATTATAAGATCATTTCATTGGGGGCTCTTACAGCTCTTATAACAACCCATACATTGATTCTATCAAGCGTATTTGTACATATGTTGCCATCATTATTTTCTAAACATTTACTTTCTATTGAGCCCTTGGTATCAGCTACTCTTTTTCTCCGCCCCCCCCCCATGCTTGTGACCCCTTGATAAGTTATAAATTATTATTATTTTCACATCTTACACTGATCACGCTCTCCCTCCCCCAGTGGTTTCTGTTGTTCATCCCTTGGGGGTGTGGTGGTTATGTGTTGGTCATTGTGATCTGTTCCCTCTTCCTCTCCTCCTCTCCCCACCTTCTCCCTAACCTCCTGGTCTCGCTACTCACATTCCTGTTCCTGGATTTTGTGAGCTCTTATCTCCTATCTGTACCTGTGCAGATGCTCTAATCCAGCCTGCAGTGGAAGACAGGACTGGGGTCATGATAGTGGGGGGTGATCACATTTATTTTTAATATGAAATTTTCCCAATTATTAAAATAATGCATGTTCATTGTGGAAAATGTGGAGGATTCACAAAAGTATAAAGAAGAAAATGAAAAGAAATGTCAAATTCTCTCATTTCCCTGAGAATGACTGCTGACCGACTTTCTGCATAATTGCACATATATCTTTTTAAATTGCATTCATGCTACGGGCATCCTGAGGTTTTCATCGACTACTTTGGTGAAATTTTTGTCCTGTCATTAAAAATGCTTTGAGAATGATTACAATTTTTGTAATTCTTTGACCAGTTTTATGTTGTAGACATGTGGTTTCCAATTGTTAACACTGCTGGGGAAGAATATGCGTGTACGTAAATCTTTATGTGAAATGTTGACTTTTAAAAAAGATAAACATCCACACAGTTGGATGACGGACTTAAAGAGTTTGAACATTTTTAAGACTTCTGACATGTTACCAAGTGACGGCAGCAGCCGTACCATTTTATATTCACTCTTCTAAAGTGTTGTTTTCCTTCCATGTTGCAAAATATTTGCCCACCTCCAAATCAGCTTCGTAGTATCTTAATTTTAACATTCAAATTTATAAGGTGACATAAAGGTCAAAGTTTACTTTTCTAAATCATTAGCCTCCTGCCTAATATCTATTGTTGCATAGTTTTGATTACTTGGTTAAAATGTCAGTTAAAATTTTTTTATAACTTAAAAAAAAAACCCTTTTTTGTGAATTATGTAAAGACTCACAGAGGAAATAAGTTCTCTACTCTATAGTTCATATCCTTTGTTTCATAAACAGACTGTACAAGATTCTATGAAACATGATGTCATGCCAGAAAACAAACCCCCCAATTTCTACAGTCAACACCAGGAGGAATCCAGGAATTCTCTAGATAACTCAGGAAGAGGAAGGGCAACACAAAACTATCTCAATACAGTGCTTCCTTGACGAACGGGAACATGGTTTGCTCAGCTTGTTGAGTATTTTAAGGAAATGCCGACTTTCAAAACATTTAAGAAAACAACCTCCCCACCCCCACCACAACCCGATAGGTCAGAAACAGATTTTTTTTTGTATGGCCATAGTTCCTGTACCTTTGATGTCCATAAACTTTTTATGCTGCTAGGTGAAGGTTTGCAGAGCAGATTACTAGTTTTATGTTCAATGACTTATGCACATTTGTTCTAACTCGTTCATTGAAATCCCCTCAATATACCCTCCCTCATCCCACTTCCTCCCTGTATTTCCTGTGTTCATTCCTCCTTTGCTAACCTTCTGAACTTTGTTCTTGATGAATGCTGTTCTTTTGATTTTAAATGGTGGCCTATTTCTGAAAGATAATTTTGCTTCCAGACCTGAGGCTAAGGATCAGTCTTGGGGGTCTGACCAGTCTTTGTGCAACCAGTAAGCCTAGTCTCTTTTATGATTTTGAGTTCGGCTTCACATTTTTCTTTTACTCTGTCCAGGACCTTCCAATAAGGTCATTTTCAGTGCCATTGGTAGTGGCAGCTAGGCACCATCTAGTTCTTCTGGTCTCAACGTTGTGGAGACTAGTGCTTTGTGGTCGGTCCATTAGCCCACGGAAGTAATGGCTTCCACGCGTTTTAAAATGGTTGTTGCTATTCTTTCCTCTGCTTGGG